GAAAACTGGGAAAATCGGTACAACATTAAACATATACCGTCAAAAGCAAATATATAAAGCCTATTTGATTATTTTACTATAAAATGACATATATATATAAATATATATTTTGTTGACAGAGCAATACTATCAAAGGAACCCCGCTCAGAATCGCTTTTTCGTTAGCAATGGTTAATCGTTGCTTACAGATATATATATTAAATTGCCTATAACAGTGGCGTCGCTCGCCCCAATTATACTAGGATAGGTTTTTAGCCTTTTAGGTACCTATTGCTAAATTTTACATTTAATATTGTTTTAGTGAATTCAACCTAAATGGTAATGTAATCCATATTGTCTAATCGAAATAATAACAATATATATATATATATACCTACTATCAAGTAATAAAATAAAAATAAAACTCTGTTAGAAATCTACTTTCATCTTGATTTTCATGCGATTCCGGGGAGGGAGGGTCGAACCTCTAAACCCCAGCCCCCTTACGCGCCCGGGAAGGGAGCATATACGAAACAAAGAAGAACCATTGCTAATACCGTTCTATACACGGTGTTCGTTCCTTCCGAAAACCGAGAGTTCCTATAAAGTTTGCGACCGGAGCGAGGATTTACGGTAGAAAAGTCGTTCAAAAAAAAAAAAAAACAACAAATTAAACGTGCGTTTAATTGCACGTCGCTTCGCCCAGAATCGAATAGACATTCCCGGCTAGCCGTCGCCGGGAATCCGAAATGACTTTTACCGCGGACCGCGTGGGCACGTCACGTTATAACGCCGTACGTTTAAAATAGAAAAAAAAACAAAAACAGATGTACTTCGCATTATAATCCGCGCAGTGTCCATAAATCGTATCGACGGCAGCGGGGGCCAATTAAACGTATCGCGGGAGTTTTTTTTTTTTTTTTTTTTTTCGTTATCGTGCCGGGTCTTTGGAATCTCGGGAAAATAATCACTATTGTCGCGCGTCCGCGTCCGCGTCGGGCGCTCTCGTAAAACGTCACGCACCAGGCGGGTAACCGCCCATAACCAGTGACCACCGCGCGACCGCATTCGACTCCGTATTCGACTGTTATTGCATTGTAATATATCGGCGGTGTACGCGCGGCGGTCCCGCTGCGAGCGTGATTTGTACGAGGTAAACTGGAGTGACGGGATAATAACGTGTTCTCGGTCGGGGGCTCCTCTCCGCCGCGGTTTCGTTGCCCCGCGAGAGAACTTTGCGCACGTCCAACGACGGTTGTGTTATTGTTGTTCCGATACATAAGGTATGCAGTATATCGGGTACGTATCGCACACACGCACACACGCACACACGCACACACACACACGCACATACACACGCACACACGCACGCACACATACGCGCGCGCGGGAGTTTGGTTAGAAGCCAATTCGTGTTTCGAAAACCGCGCGGACGGGACTTTGCGGCACCGGGCGACGGAACGGGTAAATAACTTTCCCCCGCCCCCTGCGCGTTTCGCGACGCGGCGGCCGATAAAATACGGCGAAAAGGAAAAAAAAAAATGATAAAAATAAAAAACCGCACACGCTCGTATATAATACATACAACAGGAACGTTCGGAACAGATTAAATACACGGCGGCGGCGTGTATTGGAAAAAAACGCACGCAAAATACACGCGCGATAAAAAAAAAAAAACCTAACGAATACAAACTAATGGCGAACACGAAATTCGTATCGTCACCGGCGTCCGTTTCGCCGCAATCATTTTCCACCGCGAGAGACGCCGCCGCCCGCCGCGCGGCTCTATGCGCGTTCGCGTAAACACGTCCGCAGTCACCGAACGGCGCGGCGCGGCGCGATTCGCGCGCGGACATTGTCGAATTGAAATGCAAATCGATTCCGCGGGTGTCGTCCGTACAGCGCAACATCGCCAGGCGGCGCGCCAACGTTCGCTGTCGCTCATCAAATATCGCGCGACGGCTGCGGGACGACCAGAACCGGTGGAACGTCCGAGATTCGCGGCGCGGTCGGCGGAGCCGGACACGCGGACATTACACGCGTCGTTTCCGCGTTGGCGACGATTGAAAAACGGAACATCAACAACGGACGCGTTGTTATAACGCGCGAGGGACCCCGGGCGGGGCGAGTTGTTACTCGACGAATATTGTAGCCGGTCGGCAGGGGTCATACTCGATATAACGTCAAATCGAAACGGAACGGAAAAAAAAAAAATTGAAAAATGAATACGTTTCGCGGATTTGTCCCCAGCTTTTCCCCAGCTCTTTTCATAATATATGGGCGAAACGGGAGGGTGCGGGAAACTTCCCTAAAGCACCTGCCCTAGGCAGATTTCCTTTTAGAAAAAGTGCCACACTTAAATATCAGAACGAAATCGACGGTAGAAAAGTTGCCCATAGTCAAAAAATAATAATAATAAATTGATAAACATCTTTATAAAACTAATATATTTCTCGCTCCGCTCAGAATCTAAAAAAAAAAATAAACGAACATCGTAAAGCTAATATACATTCCTGGCTACGCGCCCGGTATTTTTTTCCAAATAAATTCTGGTCTAATGTAATTTTTGCAAATAACATGTCTTTAAGAAGAAATTTAATGTTCTAAAAACTTTGATTCAATTTTATTTTGAACGGTTCAAAATATATATTATGATAAACACAAAACGTTCATAAAAGTTGTTATTTTGTCAAACGATTAAAAGAATCTATATTTTATTATTTTTCTTGGCGTACATTATTTTATGGGTGACATTAAAAAACCCTATAGTTTCAAGTGCAATGGATTTCTATGTAAATTTAAAAATGAAAAAAACAAAAAACAAATTTCGTAATTTTTAAAACCCACGGGTTACGTGAAAGTTGAAATTATCTGACAGTTGTCAGTCAAGTCTCGCCTAAGACGGTATTTAATTCTTGTCGGTAACTCAATAAAATGTTTTAACCCTATACATTTGGTTGATTGCTATAAGAACGGTATACCAATGTTATTTATAAATTCAGTCATGACAACTATCAGATAACTAATTTGACTTTCAAGTGGCTAACCAAATTACGAAATAACAGTTTCGTTTTCTTTTTTTTATGATTTTACATATAAATCTATAGCGGGAGTCGGGAAAAACTTGAAAATAAAACCGCCAAACCCCGCACTTCAACCGAAAAGTTTTTAGCCGACCAGTATTGTAGCCGATCCGCATATTAATCGAACTGTAATTAAACCGAATTATATTTTAGCAGAAACGTATTGTAGCCAAACCGTATTTGAATAGAAAACCACTATGGATACCGTGTAGGCCTACCCCAGCGATCCAAGTGGACTGTGCACTTAAATTAGAATATGCCATACAACAATTTACAATTATTTTTGTTATAATATATGGGGGGGGGGACATTGAATTATTGTGACGGGTTTGAGGCTCCTTATCATTTATCTGAAAAATTTAACCTCTCGGGTGAGAAAAATAAGAGTGTAGTCTGCAAAGAGCGTTGGAGTAGTTCTACACGGTACTTACTGTTGTTTTCGGCTTAAATATTACGGTTCGCCAAGTGTGTTTAATTGCTCCCCCCATATCGACCAAATCGAACCGGACCGGTTGTAAGTTAAAGATCTTCATTTGCAAGTATTTATTAGTTAGTTTGCGGAATTTATATCCCTTATCTCTAGCGAAATCTACAAAAATCGGAGCCAAATATCGAAAATAATATATGATAAATATATTATTATAACATATCATAAGTATACGATTTGTTTTTAACACATTCGTAATGATTTATAATCGAGAACACAGCATTCGTATACCACTCCAATCTTAAACGTGTAGATTATTAAAAAATCATATTGGTTTATATATTTTTTGTTTCGGATTTTAAATTCAAAACGACGAAAATTCCAAAAGAAGATTATTATTATGATTTCTGTTGTATTTTAATTGGTATTTGACAAATAAATAATTGTTTGGTAAATTTGTATATATTTCATCTTTATACGGTAAAAGTACAAATATGAAGTTCGTGTACCACAATATGAAGATATTAAATCAAGTCTAGTTATCCTCATAGTTGATTTCGATAATTATACGAAAATCAAATATATTTTATGCAATAGAGTAAGCGCGAAACTGGCTGTGTTTAAAAAAGGGGAACTTTTTAGAATATGTCTAACTATAGGAACGAGGGTATAGCAATTGAAATTATTAAACGTTATTATTCTGAGAATACTTGTCTTTTGTAATTACCGGCAAGCCATACACGAAGTGCACCATCCACGCACGGACGCAAGACTTTTATTCAAAGTTCGATCGTCCTCACGTCCACCGATTCGGTGTGGTAGGCTATTGTAGTATGGCTCACTTAAAAATTCACTATGGTACGAAAAATATATTTTTCTCGATAATACAAGGTAAAAATATAATAATTTATAATATAATAGTTTAAGAGTTTATTATTTATGTTGTTTTCGAATTAATAAAAAGAAAAATAATTAGTTTCATGGTTTTTATGACTGTTCAGCGACAATCAACTTATTATGCTTTGTTTCTAAAATTCCTATATTTTATCTATAAAATCTATAATATTCTGGACAAAACACCATTTTATCGATAATGGAATGAATTGAAACGCACGAGCTCCCGAGCCTATAGGTAGTATTGTTTTTTAACAATTAAATTAATCGCATTCGACTTGCAAATTCCGAAAACTAACTTAAAAAATACATACAAACGAATATCTTTAACTGACAATCGGTCCAGTTCGATTTTGCGATACGGGAGTGCCAACTTCACACACGTCGGTTGTTAGACTGCAATCCGTATCTGAAATTCAGACAATTTATTTTCGATTGAAATACGGTCCGGCTAAAATACGTTTCGTCTAATATATGCTTCAGCTTGGTTGCACATCGGTTAAAATACGAATCAACCACCAGATATCGGTCGGCTCCAGACATTTTCAGCAGTTAAACGATTCGGCGATTTTATTTTCGGCTGTTTTACGCGTGCCTTTTGTTTTTCGTATTTTCACTTATTCGTCATCATTGCCACTCTTGGATTTGGAACATTTCTTTTTGTTGTGACAGCTATTCTTCGTTTTTCTCGAAACTTTACAGGACTTACTCCTAAGTCTCGTTCTCCCGCAACTATCGCAGTGGCCTCTTCGGGCTTTCGTGATGCTCACGGTGACGTCGCTGCTGCTGCCGATTGACGATCCGTCGACCGTCGACTCGTTCTCCTCGTCTTCGTTCGCGCGGCGCCGACTAGACCAACGCCGCCGTGCCCTCGGTCGGGACACCGCATCGCTGGTTTCCGCGTCTCCGTTATTGTTCTCGTCACCGTCCGCGATCTGAAGAATCCTTGGCCTCTGCCGATACCTTCGGGACGACGATCGTCTCGTTTTGCTACGGCTTCTTCTTCTTCGCCTCCCAGACGACGACCGCCTCCTCCTGGCGCTCCTTCTTCGGCGGCGTCTCAGATCGACAATGACTTCAAGACCATCTGCCGCCGCAACACCGTCCCCTGTATCTGTCTCGTGCTGGCTCGCGTCGGCCGATCCATCCTGTGACACGGACGCCGTCTGACAGGGTTCCGGCGACATTTTGTTCGTCGACGAGTTATTTATCGTCGGGCTCCAGTCGTTTTTCGATCATTTTCAGTTGCGTTAACCGTGAAAACGATTTATATCGAAATATTTCTCGTTGAAGATTTACTTGGATAGCTGAACGAATTGTATTGTTTTCAGGTTTGACGCAATTATTGAATGAATACAGACTATGTATATACTATATAAATCTATTCGATTACCATGGAGTGCCAAGCGATTATTATCGGTTTTGAATTTACTTTAGGTCAACCTATTAAAATTTCTAACACAGACGAGTAATACAGTACCCTAACATGCCGAATTAGTGGACGTGAGAACGATCGAACTTTGAATAAAAATCTTGCGTCCATACGTGAATGGTGCACTTCGTGTATGGCTTGCTGGTAATTACAAAAGACAAATATCTTTGGAATAATAACGTTTAGTAATTTTAATTATCATACCCTCGTTCCTATAGTCGGAATATTCTAAAAAGTTCCTTTTTTATAAACGCAGCCAGTTTTGAACTTTCTCTATTGCATAATATATTTGATTTTTGTATAATTATCAAATTATCCAATTAAAATAAGACAAAAATCATAAAATTAAGCTTCTTTTGGAATATTCGTCGTTTTAAATTTGTATCCAAAACAAAAAACTGTACGTACCGTGAAGAACTACTTTTCAGTTGAAATACGGGGTTTGGCGCTTTTATTATCAAGTTTTTTCCGGCTCCCGCTATAGATTTATAAGTAAAATCATAAAAAAAAAGAAAACGAAACTTTTATTTCGTAATTTGGTTAGCCACATGAAAGTCAAATTAGTTGTCTGATAGTTGTCATGACTGAATTTATAAATAACATTGGTATACCATTCTTATAGCAATCAACCAAATGTATAGGGTTAAAACATTTTATTGAGTTACCGACAAGAATTAAATACCGTCTTAGGCGAGACTTGACTAACAACTATCAGATAATTTCAGCTTTCACGTAACCCGTGAGTTTTAAAAATTACGAAATTAGTTTTTTCTTTTTAAATTTACATAGAAATCCATTGCATTTGAATCTATAGGATTTTAAATATTGCCTATAAAAATTCGTTATTAAAAAACTGTTCATAAATGTACGCCAAGAAAAATAATAAAATGTTGATTTCTTTAATTGTTTTACTAAATACTAATCTTTCCAACTTTTACTTTTGGGACATGTGCATGCAGAATTCCTTACGTCATTAATATTATTGATAATATTAGGAATGTGACATTTTCCGAACTAATTTAACTAATTTCTACCTATGTAGAATTAGTTTCGAATAAAATGATTACTTTCTGATATAATGAATATTTTATCAAAGGTTATTTCAAAGATGTGAACTAAGAACGTGTCAGAAAATGTTACAAAATTGTTTTTTTAAACATATATTTCATGTTGATGGTAAATGTTGTCAGGAAGTTAATAAAGTGACACGGCTAAAACACCGCATTGAAAGTTACGAACGTGGTAGATTAGCATTTGTAAAAACATTACAGTGACATACTAATATGCAACACTATATTATGTAATATTTCGTATGTCCGTAAAACATCCCTGCAACGTCTCTAATATGGTATAGATTATTGCACAGTGGGATGTGTATTAAAAAATGTTTAAATACACTAATCAATAGCTGGATAAAATGCAGCGGTAGAATCAAATCGTCAAGGTGTCAAACCTCTAACTCCTACTAAGAAATTTGACCTTGACGGCTTGGATTTCAATTTGGCTTAAATATAGGGCGGGATTGTTGATTCCAAAGTTACAATAAATTAATTAAAATAAAAAAATATTCTCCAATAATAATATATTGATTTAAAATGTCCGTTAAGTTGGCACCGGCACATTTTGTCACAATTTCAAAAATGAGGTCATGATTTTGCTACGATTTTGCTACATTTAGCAATGGCATTTTCAGATTTTGCTACTGGCACGAATTTAGTCGATATAAATCACTTGTACTATCAGGGAAACGAATTATGGTCAGGAGATTAAAATGTATTCAGGCCACCCAATAAAATACGTACCAATTAAAATCGCGTTTTAATTTCAACCAGTTGCAGTGGCGCATTCTTTGAATTTGCTAATTGCGTTTTTACTTGATACATAAACGAAGTTAAGAGGAGAAGGGGAGTTTCCACACTCTAACGAGTTTAGAAAAGTAAACAATTACATTCAAACGTAATAATTTAAGCGACGATGTGCGTAAAAAAAACCTACTCTATACTGGAATAAAAATGTATTATGCGTCTTGGCATAAATTTTTACTAAAGCTTTAAATGATTCGAGTAAGTATAAAATATTTTACACAATTGTCAGACCACCAGGCGATAAGATAAACAATTCAGGTCGTCTAGACATGTTTTCGCGGTATAAATTATATGCCCGACAAAATCTATTTCCTATTTTCCGGATAACGTTAATCTAAATGAATTCAAGCAACTATAAGTGTGTAAAACATAATAAATATTACCATTTGCATTGATCTAATTGAGGGGGGAGGGCACCGGGGATCTCTTACCCTCAACTATTTTTCCAGAAATGTTAGCGTAACTCTATTATTATTGTTTTAAGGGGAAAACATAGTATTAGTGCTACACATATTTTTGTATTCTTAGCAAAATGTATATTTATTAAAATTTGAACTAAAATTATTATACTATAGCGATGTATTAATTTAAATTAGTAAATTACTACATTGCGTAAGATTTTTTTCCCTTCATTATTTGCGACCAATGACAGACGTTATATTAGATTGTCGAGTATATTACTGAGTTTAAAGAAACTAAAAACTTTTAGTCGAGTTTATTAAAAACCGACCTCCTTATAACGTTCCGAATAGATAAAATTTCCTTTCAGAAAAGTCGGTACATCTGATACATCGGAGTAAGGCTTTTGTTAGAAATCGTCTACACAATATAAAAAAAAGACGGGTATACTTTGTACGTGGTTGGGGCACTGTTGTAGGCGAGAAGTTGGGAAGGTATGGTATTTATAAACCATATCTGTACGCAACGTTTAACTTTTGCTAACAGAAAATGATTCTGAGCAAAGTTCGGTTAACTGTGTTGCTCTATCAACAATATAAATTTCATGTTAATATAACAAATAACAATATATATATCATACATTCGCATTAAATATTTTCTTTAACGTAGTTTTTTTTAATATTGTACCTATTTTCTCGTTATTCCTACGTTGTTTTTCTGTTTTTCCATATTTTTCTCATTTATTTATTTTTTTTTTTACCCTTTTTTTACCACCTCAGTCGGATTTTCTCTCAGAAAAATATGCTATCATTGCAAATCGGATCAAAATTGCCGGTAGAAAAGTTGTTCACAAAAAAAGAAAAAAACAAAATCATTGTAAAACCCAAACTGCATTCCTCGCTCCACTCAGAATCCAAAATAAACACTGATACTTTCCTTGTTTCGATCAGAATCAAACTGTAAGAGACAAAATACAAGAATTACAATATTTAGGAATTCGCGTTGGTGTACAATACCTAATTGGATCGCGCGATTACAGACCGTGTTTGGTCGGCAGTATCGCATTTTCAGTTGCAGAACGAAAGTATTTTGGGCCTTCTCCTCACGGATTTTCACAAACCGCGCGAAAACACTCGCGTCCACGCATACCTCTACACGACAATAACGCTATCAATATTATGCAAATGCCGTTTATACACACATTATATATTGTTATGTACGCGTATAGGCTCGTCTGTCGCGGATAAAATAAGATTAGCATGTGCTGCAGTAAAATCGACGGCGGCCAATCTCGATTTCGTCTCCGGGTTATTATATCGCGTCTTTCTTTCTTTTTTTTTTTTTTTTTTATCGCGCGCAGGTGTGCCGTCCGTAAGCCCTAGCCGCCAGTGTCCTTATAAAAATAATAATATTCTCTGTGCAGTAGCATGTACGCGACCGACACGCGAAGGTTACGCAATCTATCTAATTATTTTTACCTCGTGTAATATAAAAATAATGATATGTTAATATATTATGTTTGAACAGTAGTTGAAATCGTCGTGATAATATCAATGTTCAATTCCCATTCGTATTGGAATGACTTAATTTACAATAAAACGTAGCGTAACAGGAGCTATAGCGTACCTAATGCCATTATTATTCTTAGTTTTTTTTATTTTTTTCCAACACGGCTGCTGGCCATCGAGACCGAGGTCGGATAAACATTTGTTTGGCGGACGAGTTTTTATCACAAAGGTGTTTCCATAAAATATTTAACGGATAGTTATTAATGGATAATAATCGTTCCGGATTCGAGAGTACAGAGTCTTTTCTGAAAGGAAATTTCGGCTGTGAGTTATTGCGGCGCGTAAGAAAGGCGTTTTTGATTTTGTTCGTAGTTTTCCGTTATACAATCGGGGAAAAACCGTTGGAAAAACGGGAAAGTTTTCGGCTATAACGGTTTCATTATTTTAGATTTCGTTTTGTTTATTGCGATTGGAATAAGAATAATCGTAGAGGTCTATGTTTTTCATAGAATACTTACATTAGCTCTTCCTAGACAAACTTGACAAAATTTTCATAATATTCTAAAGTTTATCTTGCTTTTACGTTTTTGCCATTTTTTTTTTTTATCTTAAAAGTCACTTAGTAGTGTTGCAATTAGTTGCAAACAACGACGTATCTTAACGAACACAGCTTTGTAATATCCATGCAGTGTCTATATTCACTGTTACCGTCTTTCAGTCCAAAATTTCTTGTCCTTCATCTCCTAAGACATTTTTTCTATAGTCCTGTGCAATACAACTGTATCTTCTCGACAAAGCTTTGTTCTACTTAGTGGCCTTGTGGATTTTACCGGCATAATTTTTTAATCGCGGATTCTCGTTTTCTCCACAGGTGACCGTGTTCGTTCTATAGCTACTTTCTTTTTATTTCGTTTCCGATATCTGATCGTTTGAACAATTATTATTTTTTTAGCTCGTGGTTATGTCTGCACTCTTGTCTATTT